TTTTTCTCGCTTGCTTATTATTTTACCAGGAGGGGCGGCAATGCCGTGCAGCATGTAGATTGGGACGAGTAAACATGGCGATGGCAGACGAAGCAGATGTGGAATTTGTTTCGAATATTAATTAAAGAACTATTTATGATACAAAATAAGAAGTTATGAATATTCTGATCTTTTAAACATAATTATAATACATGAGTAAGTACAATACCATTTCTAACTTTCTATTTAACAACACTACACCTGTCCTATTGCCCGTGGTCACACGAGTTTTACCAGGTTTTACTTTACATATATACGAAGAACGTAACCCCCGGAAATAAAACCCTAGGGAGCCACCTTAACAAGCTAAAACTAAAAAGGCTAATAACGAAAATCTATACTGTCCATGTCCAAGGGCTAACAACATAGGACTAACAACAACTTATTACATTGTTAAGCGATCTGGCTCTTTTGCACTTTACACACACTGGTTTCCAGGTGCGCGGATCGTCACATTTGAAAGTTTTAGATACTCAGGTAGATTAATGCATGGGTCAAGTTTCAGCCAAGGTCGAAATATGGGTATACCAAGTTGGGCGCGATTTTTAAAAAGAAAACAAGGTTAGGTTTAACCTGTCATGGTTTAATGTTATAGATTTTGACCTGTTGAATTTTTTACCGATTTTTATTTTATTATTCGTTCTTCACATGAGCAGTTATATAGCCTTAAACGTCAATAAACACAGGTTAAATGGAAATCCATTGTGCGGACTCATAAAATCGCTTTCCCCAATTGCCATTTTGGTTTAATGTTGTACATAGCATCTTGTACTAAACGAATCTAACTTGCTTTGTTGTCTAGATGGCTAAGTTTGTGTCAAATATAGAAAGAAAGCTATCGCCATTAAGCCGTATTATTTACGACCAGCGGGAGTCCGCATTGTCGATTATAATTAGTTGCGCAAGACGCAAGTCAATACAAATGCAACAATTTCATGTTGTATTTCATATTTAATATAAAGTTGTAGTTTCATATTTTATTGATAAGAAATAATCAAGACGATGTTTGTGTACAATATAAACATGAAATCATGGGTATTCATCGCACTTGTATGGATCTGCAGTCTTGCGCAACTAATTATAATCGACAA